GGGGGAAAGGGGGGGGAGGGGTTAGTAAAGCGAACTGTGAGAGTTCCTTCTCGTGTTAGTGAGTATGCATTTAGAGAGAGTTAATACTACCGTCTTCACCCGAATAGAACGCCCGGTCATTTTAGCCGTATTTGGGGCCATTTTCTGTCCAGATGCAGCTATAATGCCCGGGCGTTCTATTCGGTTGAAGACGGTAGGGTCATCGCCACACCACTCGCCAAACGCCAACATTTTTCATGTACCTAGACAGGTGTTTCGTCCTCATGCATTCAAAATGTTGGCCTTTGGCGAGTGGTGCGGCGAGCCCCTAGCTAGATACTGATATTCTCTTCGTACAACAGGGAGGTCACGGGGCGAAGGGGCATCCAAGCCACAGCCAAAAAGGGAGGCAGAGGGAGAGGGAGAGGGGGAGAGAGGGAGGGAGAGAAGGAGGGAGAGGGAGAGGGGGAGAGAGGGAGGGAGAGAAGGAGGGAGGCCGAACCCTAGCAAGGTCTGGCATCTCGACGTATGACTAGTTGCAGCTGCCGTTGCACAGTCCTTTGTTTTTAGGATACGTTGTACGTGGCTTTCTTCTCGATTCAACGATCACTCAAAGTCCGAACCAGGATAGATTCAAACTAAGTCCTCTTGGGCTTTTTTTTTGTAATCAAGTTCACTCTCTTCCCCCTCCTTCCCTATGAAGGAGCGCTATTCTTCTCCTTCTCCTCCTCCTCCTCCTCCTTCTCCTCCTCCTCCTCTTTCTCCTCCTCCTCTATCTCCTCCTCCTCCTCCTCCTTCTAATTATTATTATTATTATTATTATTATTATTATTATTATTATTATCCTCCTCTCCTCCTCCTCCGCCGCGCCGCTACTGCCGTCCCGACGGCTTCTGTCCTCCTCCTCCTCCTCTCCTCCTCCTCTTCTTCTTCCTCTGTCTTCCTCCTCTGTCTTCCTCCTCTTCTTTGTCCTACTCTTCTTCTTCACGGCTCTTTGCTCTTTGGCCAAGGGACTCGCAAAGAGCCGTGAAGAAGAATAGAGGAAGACAGAA